GTTTCACCGATGCTAATAGCTGCGAGCCAGCACGATTGCTTTTGATGAGAAAGTGGCGAATCACACGAGCGCTATTAAATACGTAACTAAATTAAATTGAATTAAATACACACCTAACGCGAACCACTATTCGAGATTCAATCGAAATCACTAAATCACTCTGATATTCAGTTCCTAAATCAGTAGCGGATCTTCCATTCGGTCATTGTCACCGTCATCGTGGTCACCAGTAGTACCAGCAGTTGACTGCTCTGAAGTTTGCAGCTCTGAAGTTTGAAGCTCACGGTATTCATATGTTGTAACCGGAGAAGAGACCGGTCTCCTTGATTTATAAAAATAGACTAGCACTGCAACTAGCAAAAAGAAAAGTAGAGGCACTGCAACAGATAGACCAATGATAATTGCATAATTTGACTGCAAAATTGCTGATGGAGATGGACACGGAGAAGTAGAGTTGGAACCACTTACAGGACAAAAACCAGGAGGGAACCCTTCACCAGGAGGTGGTCCTGGAATAAATATCAAACGTAAGCAAAATTAATTGCTAACTCCTTCTTTTCAGCGGCATACTTAACCCTTTTTTATATTAATATTTTACTCAATGATTGGCTTTAGAACGTTGGGAGAGGTATCTGCTATAACCTCGCCCCATGCAATAGCTAGGTAGCAAGCGTCCCAAGAATTCAAGAAAAACTACTTAAAATTTTGTGAAAAAAATTTGCCAAAAATCATGTCAAAAAGTTCAGACGAAAATTTATACGCTTTTTAACAAACATAACATTTTTTTTCAGAGAATAAGAAGTTTAAGTTATTAAATCTTTTATTAAATAATTAGTGTGATTTGAATTAACGTTAAACAGTGCAATACACCACAAAAGTGTTCGAAATACGCACCAGGGTTTTGAGTTGAAAACTGGAGTTAACAATATATCCCTACAAATAGTACTGACATATTAATCAATCATCGTATTCGGCTTTTTATAGTGATCTGTAGAATTATGCAGAACTCAGAGGCTGTTATCGACCCTCTTGCGTTGTTCTTTGGCCTCATTATTTGGGGCGGGTCAAAGCTTGAAGTGAATTGACCGAGAGGGACTGGGCAAGAACCTCTCAGATCTGCCTAATTCTTCAGGTCATGATCGCACTCAGCCTCATTCAATTATTACTATTTCTAGTAACAACCAAAGGTTACGGAGTGTAGTATTGGCGACAACGATCAAAGGTCAAAACGCTTGAGCTCCAACGCTGTGCTTTACATAAGTTCCACGTGACAGATGGTCAAAACGCGCTTGATCAGATTACGAATGATGGAGGTTCCAAACGCGCGTGATGCGATTGCGTTATGTGCGTTTCATTCATTCTTAGTATAAGTCCAAACGAATGCTGGCTACATACGACATGCGACGCATGCGTAATAACAACCTGGAGATTAGGATTGCGGGCTTCTCTTGTCGCCCGCTATCATCATCATCATCATCATCATCATCATCATCATCATCATCATCTTTCTCGTTATTTTTATCAATATCATTATTATTATGTATATACTCTCAGTATTCAACTGGTAACCAGTTCCCGGTGAAAGTCACATCCTGCAAGCTTAGCTCGAGAACCCGTCGAAGGAGTCGTGCTGTTCCTGATAAAGCAGTCTTTTGAATCTTGCCAACTAATTCTTTCAGGATTGTCCCAAGTGCCCCGACAACAATAGGCACAGCTCTTATTTTGACCTTCTAAAGTTTTCTCAATTGTAATTATTATTATTATTTATTTATTTCATTGTGTCAATTTTCTGTTAGCTCACAAAACAGAAACAACTCTCTTTGCAGAAACTGTGATTTCAAGCTGTCAAGTATTCTCCATTTACTTTTTAGAGTATACGAACCTATTTCATCGATACCTTCGTAGCTATATCCAAACTCTTGCGATCTCTTGAACATCTGTTCGTGGGTGTACACAGGGAACATCGGTATAATTACACCGCCTTTGTTGTGACCAAGTGGGGCATCGTAGGGTGAAAGGACAGTAGCATTCTGCTTATAAGTTTGAAGCCATTTCTCAAAGATCAGATCAATGAACGAGTGATGAAGGTAGAAGATGGGGTCATTAGCTGCTGAAGGAACATCACCCATGTCACCTCCCATATATATATGAACTTGGTTATGAAGGGTGTGAACGTTTGGCAATCGATATCCAGTCTTGCTACTTGCAAAGCCCTCGAAAATGTTCCTAAAACTGCAGCTCGTCTCTGCGCTGTGAGGTGGGAGGTCGAACGTTTCAAACTTCAGGGCAAAATTAACATCTTCTAAAGTTGGAAAGGTAGTAGCGAACCCCCTATCTTCTAGACCTTTTTTTTCTTTGGAATTCAAACGCCCCAGCCATGATTTTTCATCAGAAGAGTTGCACATCCGAGTCATACCTCGGGTTTGCTCTTCGGTGCAAATGACACTCCAAGACGTAAAATATTTTCCTGTTACTCTGCCTGTGGTCACATTGGTGACGCCAAAATGCTTTTCAGTACAAATTGTGCAGGTTTCTTTATTTTCAGTCCATTTCCAATAAGGCACAGTAAAGCTTTCGTCATGGGTCATTTTTTGAAGGCTTCTGTCGAAGAGCAACAAGTACAATCGATGCCAAGTGAGGATCCCTTGCCCTCCGTGGGCAACGTCAATTCCAGACTGGGTACCGCGTTCATCTGGAATAAAAGTGTACCTTGTTGAGTAGTAGTGCATCCAAACAAACAAGTTATGAACCGTGATGTTGGAGAAAAGTCCTGTAGGGTCTCCCCCGTGGTCACTTTCATTCCGTATTTCATCGTACGCAGCCGTCGTCACCATATAATCGCTGATAGCAAACCTGCGGAAAACAAGCTTATTTATTGTGCGAAGAGAAAATGACAATATATCAAACTATTTTAATGGCGTGGGCGAAGTAGATACATGAATTACATAATAATTGGAGATTATATTCCTTGCATTGAACCCTTTGAAGCACTGCGTAACTACAGTTGTAGCCGTACAATAACGTTATCTTTAGCATTACCGAAAGTTTTGCATTTTCGGATACTCCCTTTGAACATCCTGATAGCCCTTTATTCTTTCAGTTCAGTTCAGTTATTCATTCTTTGTAATTATTATTCATCACTGTTCATTTAATATGTACCCCCCACCAGGCGCTTACTATATTTGAAAGATACGAGCAATATACCATGAGACAATGGTATAATGCCCCAATATACAATCGCAACCTCATTTTTTCGTGATGGTGCGGCAGCCTAGCTGTTTTGGTTTAGGAACTAATGATGAAAGAGTTCACGGCTTACCGAAGACGATATAGGCGAATTTCTCTCTAAACAGAACGGAAGAACACATTCCATAAGGTTATTAGCACTGGATAACACTTGTAACATGTATAACGTTACAACTATTTTTTCCTATTTTCTGTGTTCGCCATAACTGTGACTTGCGTTTCTCTGTAACGTCGCTCATGGTCACTGCCTGTAACTATTCCCCCTTCTTATATTTTTAATTTCAGTCATCTGCGTCTTTTTTAAGTACCTTTCCTATTGTACTTGGCCAAGCAAAAGGATAAAATAAAATAGAGTTCTACTTCCAANTCATGGTCACTGCCTGTAACTATTCCCCCTTCTTATATTTTTAATTTCAGTCATCTGCGTCTTTTTTAAGTACCTTTCCTATTGTACTTGGCCAAGCAAAAGGATAAAATAAAATAGAGTTCTACTTCCAATTGCAAAAGTCAGTTATGGGCTCTCTTTATTCGTTAACTCAGTTCTGATTCATACCTCGACATGTTGACGTATCGCATATAGCGGTCTTTCTCCTCGTCTGACATTGTCTGGAAATTTTTTCGCTTCAAGATTGTCTTTTGGTCACAATTTGTGCCATGATAGCCGAATTCACAGTCACCGCAGTCGTAACCACCAAAGTTCGCATTGCATTTGCACACTCTGGTATAAAGAGGGTTAGGCCATAAACTACGGTCGTCCTCCTTTTGGAACTCTTTGAAATGGCTGTACGTCACGTTCCATCTACGAACCGTGAATTCATGACATTTTCCTCTGTTTCCATCGCTACCACAAGGGGCGGTGAAGCCTTGTGGTACAGGACAACATTCTCTGTTTTTCAGACTTGAACGATTTATACATGCCAAGGGGAAACTGCCCTTGTGCAGACGGAGGTGCAACAGCTGGAATCAGGAGGATTGTTATGAGCAAAAACATGCTGATTTGCTAAAAGGTGAAAAAAAAAAAAAGAAGAAAATTGAGTGATCATTAATTTTATTAGTTCTCATGTTCGGAGGGGCTAGCTAATAACCGGAACAAGCAAAAAAGCGTTTCAAAACAAGCTACCTAGTGATACTGATCGAAATACTTTTTGAATTCACTCCTTTTGCTCCAATACAAGCTAAAGGTTTTTTTTTTTAAACTGGGTGTAAATTTTTTACACGTAGATGGGTCTTGAACAGGGGAGCCTTATAAGTGGGGGAGGGGGAAGGGGAGTCATAAGCGGAAGTTTATGTTGTTGCACGGTGATGTGCTGATGCGGTATTGTGTGAGATAAAAATAATAAGCGATTATCAAGTGAAATGCATATCATGATCATGAGCTTTTCGAACAGGTCAGAATTATGGTCCTGATATATTGCCTAGTATCCGGAAGAGTCAGCTCGGTTGCGTTAAATTTTTAAGGCCTTCTTTCTTGCCGTACTTTAGTAGATATTAAGAACGACTCAGTAAACAAAACCAGGAAGCTGAGAGACTACCTTTACTTCATGGCCTGCAAATTTTAGGGAGAGTTGAGTTTCAAGTTTATTTCTCCATCTTTTTTTTATTATTTTTGAATAATCAACCAACTTATTTAAAAGGTTACCAGCATTAATGATAATTTGCTAACCTAAGATCAGGCTCAATTTTCGTTTCGCTTTGCAATAATGAGGACGGCTAAAATTGGGCCTGATCTCAGGTTAATACTTTGCGGGCGAGTTCAACATGGGCGCCACTCTCTGATATTAGAAATTCCCGGTTTCGGGCTTATAATAGTTTAATCGGTTGTTCCATCGCCGTGCTTGCAAATTAATAAAATAATAGCTCTGATTTATAAATAGTTGGCATTGTATGCAAATATTCTGTTTGTCTCAGCATTCGAGTTAAATTGTCATGTGATGAGCGAGAAAACCCGGGGAACGAAGATGAAATGACGCCTGCGAAGCGATTGAAGCGAGATCGTTCATCCTCCGAGGAAATTAACGAACGAGAGAATGAAGACGTTCGAATTCAGGGGAAAATCTAATATTGAATTTGTTGACACCCTTTTTCATCAAGTGATGATAATAGATATCGCAAGTTTAACAGAAAATAGTTGTAGTCTCCAAAAGAAGCGTGTGGGTTCTTTCAAGCCCTCTTGTTTGTTTATTTTTTGTTTTCACTTTTGTGTAATCATGATTGTTTTGTTTTGATCTAACGGTTAACACCATCCTCAAATAAAGTACGGATAAATCAAATATTGACCAGTATATTTTGTACATCTCCCATTTGGTGATCGCCTTGGTCATTTTTTTTCCATACGGAACGCTACATATTTTCCTTCCTGATAGTTTCTGTAAAAATTTGCTTTCGACTTTTCTCGAATAGTTCGTTCAAGTTCCAAAGTCAGCTCCAAACATTAGCGCTAAACACAAGAAAAGATTTCCGTTTCTGGCCTAGTGAAATATTTACCAGCAGTAGAATGAAGAGTAAGAAGATGCAATGTGTTCTAATTGCGTTCGAGGTACGAGAACGCAACCCCTAATTTGTGTTGGGTGTTCTGTGCATTATTGGGTGACCTGTGCAATTAATAAGGGAAGTTTTTTTGAGATTTCATTTTCGTTCGTCGTCGACACACAATTGCCTCGTTTTGAGTTGCCTGCTTAAGTTTTGCCTCACTTTGACGCGCTAACTCATGTGGTGATTCTTGCATGTGTCCTCGGCGTTCATCTTTCAAAGGTTTGCTAAGGTCTGATATTCTTAGTAAAGCGTTCATCTTTTAAAAAGTTTGCTGAATCTTCGTAAAGCGTACATTGATCTGTGATTGCTGAATCGTCCAAAGCGTTCATCTTTCAGGAGTTTGCTGTTAAATTTTACTTTGGATTAAGCCTTCATATTTGTCAGCATGGTTCGTCACTGTCTTTGGAAAATGTCTGCGACTACTGGTGCATGCATCAAACCGGGTTTAGTTCGGCGGCCGTTATGCCACAAAGTAAATTTACCGAGTTGTGTAGCTCGGCGGCCGTTATGCCACAAAGTAAATTTACCGAGTCGGCCTTTGAGAAACTGCGCCCTGTAACTCGCGCCAGTAAAACAAAATGTCCCATTTACACGTCCGACGCTGGCCAATGTCTCCTCCGATTAAAAGCACTTGACACCGAACCATACGATATCTTTTGAAAACGTTCTTAAAATGATACACAGTTTAAATAGAGGTTTCGCTGTACGCAACCCTTACGTTCAGAATATGCCATAATCATATTTATCTACATCTCAACCACCCTTCCGCCTCAACAAACATATCGACCGCACTCTCCTAAGCTCCGATTACTCCTAGTTTATAAGACTAAGAGAGTTTTTGTGGCCTAAGGTTTGGTCGCTCTGGACATCACATGAGACTGCTTCAAAATATACAGAGTGCAGTGGAAGGGTGTTAGACGAGAGAAACAATGCAAAAGCACTTTGATCGCTCTTTCTTTTTTTTTGGAAGAAACTGTGCGCAAAGCTCATCAGCGGGTGATATTCAGATTTATATTACTGACTCAAATACTGTAGCTTCCATGCCATGGAAAAGGACATATTAGTAAAGCTAGTTTATAAGTGTGACAAACACGAGACGGCCATTTGCGTTCAGGTNTCCTCCGATTAAAAGCACTTGACACCGAACCATACGATATCTTTTGAAAACGTTCTTAAAATGATACACAGTTTAAATAGAGGTTTCGCTGTACGCAACCCTTACGTTCAGAATATGCCATAATCATATTTATCTACATCTCAACCACCCTTCCGCCTCAACAAACATATCGACCGCACTCTCCTAAGCTCCGATTACTCCTAGTTTATAAGACTAAGAGAGTTTTTGTGGCCTAAGGTTTGGTCGCTCTGGACATCACATGAGACTGCTTCAAAATATACAGAGTGCAGTGGAAGGGTGTTAGACGAGAGAAACAATGCAAAAGCACTTTGATCGCTCTTTCTTTTTTTTTGGAAGAAACTGTGCGCAAAGCTCATCAGCGGGTGATATTCAGATTTATATTACTGACTCAAATACTGTAGCTTCCATGCCATGGAAAAGGACATATTAGTAAAGCTAGTTTATAAGTGTGACAAACACGAGACGGCCATTTGCGTTCAGGTAGTAATTAACTGGATCTGGTGAAGGAAAAAGTTTCCCCACTAAACTAGAGATAACATTCAAATGGAAAACGACAATATTCTTGACTCTTTTTCATTTGTGAGTTGAACTGGTCGCGTCGTAGCGGTGGATTTTACCGTGAACCGTTACTTACTGTGATCAGCCAAAAATTAATAACGTAATGTCCCCCACCTTTTCAATTGTAAATCCGCCAATGGAATCTTTTCTGTTTCCAGCACCGAACTAGACTAAAGTAATACGAACTCAGTGCTCAGCGAAAACAGCTAAACGCGTGTGTATAACCTCTAAAATTGCTCAAATCAATTGATTTACTGGACCAAAGGTAAGAACTTAAATAAGCAAAAGGAAGGAAGTAGCTGTCATTCAGTAATTTATCTTAAAGTATTTTTTTCTTTTATGAGTAAGTGCGCAAAAAAA